TACAAGACTCTCCATGGACATACTGGAGGCAGTCCAAAAAAGGGCCACAAAGGGCCAGGAACATCACACCTGTGAGGAAAGGCTGTTCAGCCCGGAGACAAGAAGGCTCGGGGAGGGGAGATCTTGTAAGTATATATAAACACGTGAAGGGAGGGTGCAAAGAGGACAAAACCAGGCTCTTCTCAGTGGTGCCCAGTGACAAGACCAGAGTCAATGCGCACAAAGTGAAATACCAGAGGTTCCCTCTGAACATCAGGAAACACTTTTTTACTATGAGGGTGACTGAGCACTGGCACAGGTTGTCCAGGGAGGTTGTGGAGTCTCCACCCTTGGAGGTATACAAAAGCTGTCTGGACTTGGCCCTGGGCAACCTGCTTTAGGTGGCCCTGCTTGAGCAGGGGGTTGGACCAGATGACCTCAAGAGGTCCCTTCCAACCTCAACCGCTCTGTGATTCTGTGAAATAAAAATAATAATTCTCTTCAGTTACTGATAGGATGCCTAGAACAAGTTTTACAGTAAGTTGGACGCATTATTGTTAGCATGTGCATCTAGGACAGGTGATGCGTTCTTCACAGACCACGACAAAGAACTTGCTGCATTAACGTGGGATTTGTAAGAAGCTGCAACTAATCAGAATTTCAGTTTCCATTAAGATACAGAAACATCTTTTAAACTAAAGGAGACGATTTAATATTCTCAAGACGTGTTTAGAAAATACTGCCAGGGGGTTTTTTTCCTCGTTAACACAGGCAACTATTAAACACATATTGTGACCAAAGATGCAAATAGAAAGGATTTTTCAAATGCAACTGAATACATTGGGATTCTTTACCTTCCACTATTGTCTGAAGCAAAAAACTGCACCTTCAATTATTTAAGCACCTCTGAAGACCTGGTCCTTTAAGTCATTAAATTAAATTTACTGCTACCAGAGCGTGCACCAGGAGAAAGGACTGGGTGTTGAAGAGAGGAGGGGAAAACCAGCAAGAGTGTTCCTAACCACAAATACAGTATTTTTGGTTTACACTGATAACTGCTCTTTCAGTTTAGTCAAAGCAAGAAGATTTACTGTGCAAACGAAACTGTAAGGTGAAGAAAAAACATTCAGAACTCACTCTCCGTGCAGACTGCAGAGCCTGTTAATATTTATGAAGTCTGAAGTGGCTTCAAAGATTCCTTACTTAATTTTCTTATGTCATAACAAAAAGCAGCACTAACTCATTAATTTTAAGGTGAGCTCACCATTAAACTATAACTGTTTTAGTAAATTCTGACCTCCTAGAAAAAAGCCTAACTTCTTTGTTTTGTGTGTGTGTGTCCCATACCAATGACAATGACCACAAGATGGAAAGAGAAAACTTGCATTTGTTCAGAAACTTGAAAGATCAAAACACAAGCCCTGGAAGCACCCAACATTATGGCCCAAAAGCTACATTTGACAGCTGTATTTCTGTGCACAGATTATTTCCTGGATTAACCTGCCACTGTGCAAGGCCAGAGCACTGGGCAGAGAGAGAATCTCTTTTGAAAGACCCTGATTAAGCTCTTACTGTCAAAAGCTTTCTCTCTGATCAAACTCTGCATCACAAAAATAACACAATTAGAGGAAGACATCTCTCCTCCTAGCATGGGTGCTGCCATGAAGATATTATTTAGCTGAGAAAAATCTATGTAGGAAAGAAAAGGAAACAGTGTTACAGGACAAACCTAGAAAATTGTGTACTTCATTTCAGCCTGACACAACCAGGTTTGGACAACAGAGACTCCAATTCAGGATAGCAGATTTATCTGCACGTAATACTGGCGTATTTTTGTAATATCCAGGGCTTTGGGGACTTCAAAGTTAGAGTGTATCACTGCTAAGCCTGTTAAATACTGGGGTTAAGGAGGGGGAGGAAGAGACTGGGACAAGCCACTGAATAGCTACATAACTTTAACCCCAAAAAATTCAGCAAGGCACATGTTGTCCTTGACTCAAACATTCCTGAATAGCATTTATTTTCCAGACCTATAAGAAACAAAACATCAGGAAATGTGATCTATTACTCCTTAAATAAAAATATATTCACCATAAAACTATTAATGAGACCACATGTTACACAAAACACAGTCTCATATCTTCAAGAATCCCTATGGATTTGGTGGTGACAGAGTCAAAAAAAAAAAGCATGACTTTTTGGCAGACAAAATGAGATGAAATGGGGTCTTTGTTAATTTTCCAACAGATCTGTCATCGCTTCGGAGCTTGAAGAGTTAATGCTCCTCCTTAGCTTTGAAGTGTCTGAATACTCAAGTATCAAAACCATGCTGAGGACACAACATTATATATGTAGTTTCACATGTGTGTAGGTCATATGTATCCATACCCCAGAAGTATACCTCACCTTAACAGCAGCACTAACCACTTCTCAAACACTGAAGAAGTTCCCTTGCCAAAATAAAATATTAAAGTTGGGATTTTTTTCCCAGGTCTCAGACAATATTGAATCTCTTTAGTGTCCAAATATTGCCCCAGCCATACGGTCTTACAATGAACTTCAGTTCCTACAAGCTTTGAATATCACACGCCAAGAGAAGGAGAAAGGGTAGGGCCTGGGAACAGCCTCTACCTCGGCTACCTGCTGTAAATCACCAGGAATTAAGTTTTTGGCCAGGAAAACAGCAGGGCTGCACGTCAGCCCCCCGATTTTGCCTCCTGAATCCGGATCGCCCCTCTGACAGTCTCTCCGAAACCAGGTCCAACAGAAGAGCAGAGCCAGGAGAGGCTTTTCCCAGCTGCTGCCCTTAATTCCTCCCACTCCCACAGACGCTGACGTCAGGTCCCCAGGCCACAGCGATGCTGGCGAGGCGAGCAGGCAGGAGGTCAAAGCCTGGGTGATGCCTTCACCCAGAGCAGAAGCCGTACCGTGCCAAGGAGCGGCACACCTACCTTCAAGGAGCAGCAGTTTCCCCCACGCAGCTCAACAGCCACCCCCTGACCCAAGACGTGCCAAGCAGACCAGGTTTCACTAGTGCCACAGTTAAGAGAGGAAAAAAATCCAAACTCGTCAGTCTGACACTTTAAGCCCAGGTTAGTCCCACCTGCCACCATCCAAAATTGTCTCCAAGAGTTTACCTGCAGAGCTGGAAACACGGCATGGCTCATCTTCAAATTCAGTCTGGCATCTCAGCCCAAAACCACCTTTATTATGGCAGAGGGATGAGCCAAGCATACTTGTGGCCTCCACGTGAAAAACAGTGAAACGTAACTCAGGCTTTCAGGGGGTTTTGCCCAGTTGGGTATCATAACACCATCAATTTTTATATTTTATCAGTTTCACAGTTAGTAGCTAAATTTGTCAGCTTCAGAAGAACACTGACTAGGACTAAATGAAGCCCTCCCTTTTTGAATAAGTAGATAACTAGATATGGCATTTGATAACTAGATATGCCATTTAACAAAAAAAAAAAAAAGGTTGAAGGCAGCTCACACCTCTAATTCTGAGGATTTAAACTACTTCTTATCACATGGTAAAAACTATGGCACAATACTGTCAGGTAACACAAAGCACAGGCACCTGGGATCCCTACTTTATTAAATATTTCCCCTCCTCACCCACATCTCAATCACCACTGGAAATGCGATATCCGAGAACCTGTCCATCATTCATTCCACATTCACAGCTCAAGAGTACCACATCTACTTGATCTAAAACTCTGAAGCTGCAGTAACAAAGCATAACACGAAAATACAAGAAAAAGCTGTTACTTTCACGTTTACCCCATACGTGCGTTTAAGCCCAGTGATGACCCACAGAAGCACACAGGAGGCCCACAAAATACATGTGCACCTATCAGACCTTTTCTGAAGGAGTTCAGGTTGACAGCTTAGACTATAAAACAGCCGTTTACCCAGCACCATGGCTCTGCCACCCTCCTAGTCTCCCTGAGAGTAAGCTATCCAGCAGCATTTCTCTGCTTCTACGCCTCCAACACTCCCGGGCCTCAGCATTCCACATCAGGATGCATCCAGACACCGCAGGCTTTGAGGGACTGGTACATTGGTGGTTACTATTTAATATCAACATGTGGCCAGCCCCTAATTCAGCCAGGCTCAGCTAAAGCTCAAGAGGCAAACTTCACAACAGAAACAACATTCTCGGGCCTTATTTCCAAATCAGATGCCACATCGGCCAGGGGATGGGAAGAGGTAAAGGAGGGTCCAGCTCGCTCTGCTCCCCCCAGGCCAAGGGAGATCCCTTCTAGCAGCTGTAGGAAATACAAGACCAAAGCCAACTGCACAGCTGTGTGAAGACGAGGAGCAAGGTCTGGCAGGGACAGCGTACTAGCTGCTGCAACACGGTCCTCAACAGCAACTCAGGAGAGCAGCTAGGACGAGCCGCATTTGTACGTAAAGCTGTGACCTTTACCAGGTTCACCGCCACCCTACAGACTCCGCATTTACTCCAGCCTGTGTCTCCCGGCTCCGCGTTTCACCTGGACGGGGGCGGCGATGCACGCCCGTCCCCGCAGCCCGGGACGGCTCCTCCGCGCAGGAGGGACGCGGGGAGGAGAGCAGAGCTGCCCCCCCGCCCCGCGAGGGGGGCAGCCGGACACCCCCAACTACCCACGGGGGACGGCCTCCCCTTACCTGCAAATGGACGAAGGCAGCCCAAAAAGGCTGAGCTGCCGGTCGAGCTTCCCGGTCCGCAACCCCTCATCCGCCCGCCTTCCCCCCCGCCCCAGACCCGGGAGAGCCGAACAAAAGGCGACGGAAGGAACGGGGACAGCCAACCCCTCCCGGGGGTTCCCGTCCCGGAGGGCGGCACCGCGCCCCGCACGCAGCCCTGCCCGCGGGTGAGGGGTCGCGCCAGTCCCCGCCGCCCCGGCCTGGGAGGTCGGCTGCGGGCGGAAGGGCGCGAACGAAAATAAATAAATAAATACATAAAAAAATAATTATATTACCCGCCCCCCCCCTCCCCCCACCTCCGCGCAAGAGGCGGCTTGGCGGGGCACCTACCCTGCTCGTAAATCGGAGCAAACTCTCATCCACGCTCCCCGCGGTGCCCAGGCCGCCGGAGCCAGACGACGCCCCGAGAGCCGCCGGTCGCTGGGCTGCGCTGGGCCGGGCCGGGCGCCAGCGGGGCCGGGCGCGGCCGCTCAGCCCCGGACAAAGCGCTGGTGCCGCTGCCGGCTGCGGGCGAGGGCGGCAGCAGGTGCCCGTCCGCCGCCGAGGCCGAGCCCAGCGCCCTGCGCAGCCGCCGCCGCCGCCGCCGCAGCGCCCAAGCCGCTCGCCGGGGCCGCGCCGCGCTCCCGCCCCGCCCCCGGCCGCCGGCGGCCCCGCGGCGGGAACCCGCAGAGGCGGGGGCGGGCGGGGCCGGCGGGGCGGCCCCTGGGCGGCCGCACGGAGCGGAGCGGCCCGGCCCGCAGCGGCGCACAGCCCGGCGCCCCGCCGGCCCCAGCGGTTCCGCACCCTCCGCCGACTCAGCGCGAAGCGGCAACGAGCAACGTTTCCCCCCCCCCCCCGCCCGCCCCGCCCCAGCCCCACCGCCACCGCGCCCGGCGGGCACCTGCCCTGCGCCGCGCCAGCGCCGGGAGCTCGCCTGCGAAGGAGTCCAGACGCCTAGCAGGCAAGATCCTCCGTGCTGTCGATGGCGCTGCCCTCTGCGATGTGCCTTGCACGGCGGAGTAGACCGCGGCGGGGCTTGCGCTGGCTGAGCGTGCTGCTTGTTACACAGCCGGTACCGTGAGGCCGCGGACGGGGAGCGGTGGCGGTTGCATTGTGGCCGGACCCCGGGCCCGGGGCTCCCTCCTGCGCTGAGGGCGGGCCGAGCGCGCCGGCAGCCCGGGCCCTGCCTGCCCGCGGCCCTCAGGACCCGCGCCCGGTTAAGCGGCGGCGGAAGGCGGCGGCGGGCCGGGGGCCGGCAGCCCACCCCGCGGCACCGGCACCGGGTGGGCCGGGCTGGCTGCCCCCAGCCACGCACACGCGGGGACCCGCGGGGAAGGGGCCGCTCCCGCGTACGGACGCCTCTGTGTCAGCATCACGGGTGTTTGTTTGTTAATTTAGTAAACATACAGGGCTGTACCCTGCTGCTCATGCACCGTTCGTTGCCTTTTGCCTGCCGCTTGTTAACCCTCATCTTTTTTTTTTTTTTTTTTTTTTTTTTTTTTTCTCATAGCTTAAGAAATACAGGGGGCATGTGCCATAAGAAACCCTTTTATTTCTCATCCCTCTCTTGTCCCACCTTCTGGGTCTGGCGAGCCTAACGGAGCGGCTGCTGTGCAGCGTAAGCAATATCAGGCAATTCTGTAATAGGTTCATCTACCTCAGCGCGTGGCCTCTAGCGCAGCGGAGACGAGCCGTGGTTTGCGGCGCGGTGTCCACCGGCGAGACTCCGGAGGGGATGGCCCGGGCTCCGCTGCTTTTCCCCGGCAGATTTGGCCATTTGCAGGGTGGTGACTGGTGGCATGTTCTGCGCTCGCCAGCATCCTCGTGTTTCACGTCATCTCGTGCCCTTTGCATGCTGCCTTTGTAACTCTTTATTTTATTTATTTATTTTGAGATCAGGAATTTATGAATCAAAAGATGGGGGAGTGGAGCCATGTGGAGGCTGAGTCAGATTGTGGAAAAGGAAAGCCAAGCGAGAGTGTGCAATTGCATATCACATTTACAAACAGTTTCATTCATCTCCATATGTTGCTCCTGTTACTACTAATAAAGCTCTGGTTTCTCAGACTGGTGCTGCCCTGGGAACGCCGTTTGATCTTCCTGGGGTTTTTACTCTGTAGCCTCCATAGTATTTGTGTTATAGTGTGTTATTTTCCCAATTATGTTTTTATTACATTGAACACGTGTTAATAACAGAAAGAATTTGATAATATGAATGTAGTTCCCACACCCTCCTCTTTTGTCCCTATTATTGGATGAGCAAAGGAGTGACAAATTATTTACCAGAAGCAATTTTTTCCTTCTATATGGGTAAGATTTCCTAATTATAAAAAAAATAAAAACCTTTCCCCTGAGCATGCACCCTCGTTCACCTCCTCTCTTTTCTCATCCTGCTAATGATACCCAACTCCATCATGGTAATTTTGGAACTGCAGGAAATCTAGCTTTGTCTACGAAAGATTTCTACAGACGCCTCTATAGGCAAAGAGAGGCAGAGAGCAAGGTCTGCTTTAGGCGTAATGCTGCCTGGGGTTTTCTTCCCTGTCAGGGAGGTATAACTGGAGTGTACAGTAATTAATCCAACACTAGGAGGGAAGGAGGAAGAATTATTTTGTTGGAAAAAATAAGGGTGTTTTTTAAGTGTCAATTTCAATGACCTTCATGATTTCTATTTTAAACAAAAGGCAACAACCTACTACAAGGATATCTTTTGTCTTCTGGCCTCATCCTTTGTTCTCCTTGGGTTTAGCCTGTCACTTCTCAGGGCTTGACTGTCCCTTCTTGGCACAGCAGCACCTCTCACCCGTAACTCTCCAAAGTGCTCTTCTAGGAGGTGATTTTTTTCCCCCAACTGCTTATTTCACATCGTCTCTGCAGTGCAAGGTCCGTCTTTCTTATGACCCTCTGAGTCTCTCTTCTCTGTGTTTTATTTATGCGTCAGTATTTGTGTCTTGCCAGACATTGTGCTGGTTACTTTACCTTCCCCCTTATCTCTGCTTTTTGCCCACTCATGCCTTTTCTCTCATTTTTATCCCCTTTCATATATTTTCTTCTTCTGCCTTTTTTTTTTTTTTTTCTTTTTCTGCCCTGTTTTTTACACCCTGTCTTGCTCTCTCCTGTCTGACATCTCACTTCAGTCCATTGCCTTACTCTCCCTTCCTCTTGACATTTTTTCTCCACGCTGTTCCTTTGGTCATTGTCCTTCTCCATCCTTTCTTTTGACTTACATTTACACACATACACACACACATATATATATGTAGACTTATATCTCCCCTCAACTCCAGATCTTCCATTCTCCAGCTGAAACAAAGAAATGACACATGCTGATAGTCTAATCCTATTCTATATCTTTTTCAGCATCTGAAGTACACTGCTCCCACCCGTCCTCAAACACATGTATTGGGTAGACTGAAGCATTAAGTATGTGTGAAATGTTCCTAAATTCAGAAGTGGACTCACTCAGGCTGTACTGTGAACAGAGCAGTTATTGTGCTCCCACTCACAATACCAGAGGAGGATTGTAAGCCCCCTAAAGCCAAGGAACTCCTGGCATTTTCTTCACATTTCTAAATTTCTGGGGTTTTGTAATGAGAAGTCTATAATTTTAGTTAAGGGACACTGCCATCTATTTGAATGATCCCTTGAATCCTGGACTGATCCAAAATAAGATGCCACAAAATGCTTCTTTTTTATCAATTGTTTTGTTTTATACATTTGTTAAGGCACTTTTGTGCAGCTGTTGGGAGAGAAATGCTTTTTTCCTCATCAGAGCTAAGCTCTGCCTCTGAAAAGGGCTCTGTGTGGAGTGAGACTGGGATCTCAACTTGTCATATTCCCTTCTTTTCTGGAGCCAGAGGGAGAGGAGAGAGTTGTGACTGCAGGATCATATGCATTAGGTGGGAGATGGAAGAGTAGATGCATAACCCAAAATGCTACATTAACCTAAGTGAGTGGGAGTGGAGTTGTTTAATAATACTTACCCTTGAAGTATTATTCCCCACTGACTACAAACAGCATCATTGGAGATCAAGGGCAAATGTTACATTTTGTTATTTAAATAAGACTCTTAATTTATAAAAAAAAAGTTGATTTCATAATTTAAGTGGGGTTTTTTTTTTGTCTCTCAAAAAGCATACTACTAACTGGCTGGAATGAAAACAGATTCCCATCCCACAGATTCCACCTCCGCTTTCTGGCAACTTACCTGAGTCATAAAGAGAGTGGGGGATTTTATATGCCACCTACATCAACTCGACATTTTCCTTTGTGGTGAGAGTTAATCACCACCCTTGTCATATTATTTCAACCACCCTCTGGAAGATACAATCTATCAGGGGGGATTGTTTAGCTTTCAAACTGGCCTTAAAACTTCTTACAGAGTAGGGTGGTTTTTTTCTGAATTTGGTGAAAACACACAGGTGGTCCATTGCAATAAGGTTTCTGTGTTGTTTGTTAAAAACGTGTTTACCCCAGAATCAGGGAAGAGATAGTTTCCGTTTGCAGAGGACTCATTTCTATCATGAGATGTGCCACCTGGAGAGTTGAGACGCACCAGGTGAAGGTAGAGGACCATCCCCCAGGTAATCATTGCAGGAGGTGTGCGCTGAGGAAGAATCTGTGGGGTTGTAGCCATGATGATCAAGGACTTAAGAGGGCAAAGTTCTGTCAGCAGAGGCAACATTTGTATTAGACCAACAGACAGAGTCAGGAAAAATGGCCATGCTTTTGGGCACATAAAATCTCTCCTTTTAACCTGTTTGTATAACCTCTGTGACCGTGACTCTTGTGAGGAGAGAGATTGTATGAAGTGGACTGATATTTGTCAATCAGAAAATACTACACAAAAGAAGACAGGAAGATAGGAATGAGAACAAAACACAAAGGTGGCAATAGAGTAAATACAGTGTGTGCAGGAGGCAGTGGAAGAAGGGATAGGAGGAACTGGAAGTTCACTTCCAGGAAGGTTATTGGGAGTTACAAAGAGGACATGAGTTACACTGGAAAGTGAGAGGAAGCTTGAGCACGTGACATTTTTTCAGAAGAAACTCTTGACGTGGTACAAGGAGAGCAGAGAGGAAGGAAAAGCTGAGACTGCTCTGGAGCTCAGCACTTAAATCTTAGTGCACAGGAGGGTCAGGGAAAGCATTTGATAAGAGTCTTCTCATCTCTGTCACAAGGGCAGGCAGAATGGGCAGGAAAGCGGAAAACCAAAAGAACTGAAGTGAACCGTTGACAAATGTGGATGAAGGAAGGGTATGTAAGCAGCTGCCATGTTGACAGAAAGTCCTCTGGGTCTCTGTGGGACCTGGAAAATGACTGAGTAACAAATGGGGTGCTACAAGACAGGAGTCAGGGAGCATACAGCGGGAACAAGCTGTCTGACCATACCCAATATAAATATGGGTTATTTCCATTCTTGATGTGTAACAGCCTTAAAATGCATTGCAGATACAGCAGCTCTGCCCTGAAGATATGGATGCTGCAGCTGTCTCGCCCATCCTGTCACACCTTCCTCCTTCTCCCATGCCAGAATTAATCCCATATTCTCTCCTCTCCTGTATTGTGGGTCCTCAGCCCAGCTCTGTCCTTCCTATCAATTGTGCCTGCCTGATAACTGAGGCACAACTCAAGATAAGTACTCAGTCACCCACAAAGATGTGCTTCTTGAAGCAGAGGCACTAATGAGCTCTGCAGGGGATGCAGGCTGAGAGCAGCACCAGTGGGGAGAAAGAAGAGCAAAGGATGGACATTTCATCTGAGGAAGAAACAGGTTGGGAGACTGTAGCAGTGGGGAAACTAAAGGTGAGGAAGCCTCAGGAAGAAAGTGAGTGTAGGAGGGTGGAGCCACGGATAGTAAAAATAACAGTATGGTACAGATAATGTGGCACTCCAGTGGCATTTTAAACCTGCTGCCTTTGAAAACCCTGCTGGGGTTTGGAAAGGAAACCTTATATTTAATTGTTCTAATTGCTACTGGCCAGCCAGGACCACTGGCATTTTCAGGCTGTGATTTTGTTCAGCAGCCCCCATTTTCTTCACTGATGATCTAATGGTTGCAACCAAGTCTTC